GTGCTGTCATTTCCTAGGAGGACTTCCTAGCTAAAGTTTTGTTCACAGTTGTTCACTGGGCTTCCATCGCAAAGGAAGTTGAGTCAACCCTGCTGATACCGTCTTACTTCAGTATGATACCCAAGTGTGTTTGCTGCAGTGCTACCCAAGGTTCTAGAGTCCTTATTCTCAATGGCTTTCTTCTCTCGTCACACTAATTTCCTAGATTCCCTTTTTCTTTGCAGCTATCCCAGAGGCTTTTTTCCTCACACTTGTATAAGTTAGGCGTCAGTACGTATTACTGTTACGGACAGTGGTGACCATGGCAACGATAGTGTTATCCGTAAAAATGGTGTCATTATAGGGTGGGAGTGGCTGTGTGTTTAAAATGCGATGTGCGGTTTGCTTTTCAAATCTCTAGTTGATGGTCTTACTGGAATTGAAGCGACGACCATTCAATTCTAGTCACCTTCTGGGATGTTAGAAGCAGCTAGTCTAGGGAAATAATTCAAGTAAAATTCAAATATTTTCGTGAAACATCATGAGTAAGTTCACTAAGGTTGTGTGAGCGGCTCTGGAGAAAGTGCTCACTAGATGCCAGTATCGTTCACTTTTGCGGAAGAGGAATGTCGGAAGATCCCCTGAATATGTGCATTAATAGGCTCCTGTAAATTATGCGAAGCAAGCTTAAACTGTTTATCAAGTTGAATGCCATTTTAACATCAAATGTAGCTATTATTCTTATCCTACATATTTGACTCTTCCATTCGAAATCGGCAAGACCGTTCTCATTTCCTACACTATTCAGTCAGGCAGAGCTCAACCGACTGAGGTCAACCAACTATTCATTTACCCTGCTCCTCTGAGACGAACTTACTCCAAATGGTGACAGACTAGACTGTATACCAACATGGTCCCAGTCCGATCTCTCCTTCCTTATTTTCCTTCCTTTCGCTTCCTTACTTTCGCTTCTTAAGGTAATATTAAGACCAGAACAGGCTTTGTATGGGACGCTTCTCGTAATCGTTTAGAGTCTCAAACAACCTACCAAAAGGGCAAATAGACTTGACAGACCTGGCAATATAAAATATGTATATATAGCCTATAGATACAAAACCATCTTGCGTCTTTGCATGTTACCATTTACTCGTTCGTGGTGCTGCCGTATTCACCGGTTCATGTGTACAATTTGCACGGTTTTCATCGCTAAAGCCAGCAACTTATCCCAATTCTTCAAAATCATCCTGTTGATACAGGAAGAACTTTTTCAACTCCAGCTTTCTTCAACCTTCCTAATCTCAGAAGCATCCCAAAGCATCCAAAGCAACTGCTTAATATGGGGTTAGTGCGACAAAGTCTTTTGTGACATCATAAGTAACACGCTTCGTTCTTCAAAATTAGCGCAGAACGGTTGTGAATAAGTACACTGGTCAGCCTACTGACTGATATCTATTGGTATTTACGGAGGTGAGAAAAAAGATCTTGCAGGGAATGATTACTTTACTGAAGGCAGCAAGACAATGTACACTCTTGGATCATAGCCCATGGCTTATATCGAAGTTGGTCCAACAAATACTTCAGTCGATCGACCCGATTCAGGTCCCCATCGAGTCCATCACGTTGTCTGACTGAAATTTTTCCCTTGGTTTCATATGGATAAAAGATGGCAGGCAGCTATCCACTGTAAAACCTAACTGAGCTATCAGCATCGCTGAACCAGAAAGTAGTGCGCATTGATTATATAAGCAGCCATCTGTAATGAGTCCCGATATGCTGAACTAAGCTGATTAAATTGACGTCATCTCACGCAGTTAAATTGTGCCTCCAGACACACTCACATGCTATTGAATTATTTGGTTGAGCAGGCCTCTTTGTGCCAAGAAACCAGATAAATCTACACCTAAATCCGGTTGTTATTTGGGGTCTAACAAATGAATGGTAGTAAAATATGGATTATTAGCTGAAGTTCCAAGGCAGACAACGCTGGAGTTGGTGAATATTTCAATAAGTCGTTCGAGGTCCATCAGTTCGAAGTTACACTGGGGCGATCCGTGGCTGTTGTTTAGTCTAGACCAGCTTGTAATGGGCTGCAGAAAACGGATATCACGCTCAATAATGATGGTGCATTCAGTGTGCTTTAGAGCATATTAGTTTGGTTCCGCTCTACCATGAAAAAGTGCACTTGTTAGAGGCATGTTAAGGAAATGCCCAGTTACCCAATAATTGACTAATCGATGGACGCATTTGTTGAACCAGTTTTCGGACGTGTAGTTCTAAAGTTCATGTCGTTTGGCCGGATAAGATAGCTGTAGGCATTCAGTGTACTGGTTACGACAGTCAGAGAGTAGGTTATATTGTCATATGAATGTTAACCAATCTCCATGCGCAAACCAATGGTTGGTGTCGCATGTACATGGTGTGTGGCACCGTAGTAACGAACTAACATCAAGCTAAATCTGAGATGGATTTGGCATGCGATGTTAAGGTCTGGCCGACCCAGGCATAGTGATAATACGTGACAGACCGCTACGGCCTGGCTAAAACAATGTGCTGAACAACCTATTTTAACAAAACATTCTAGTTCGAAAGACAGGCGTTGACTAACAAAAACAGATCTTCCACTTTTAGTAAGGGTGCTCGGTACGGGAATAAATCACTGAGATGTTCATTCCAGATGAGGCAAAAATTCATTACGGACATACAAAACAGATCAACTCAACGAATACAGCTAGAGTTTCAACATGTGTCAAGGTACTTCATGAACGAGAAAACGTCGGTGTTTTGAAAGTGCATGTCCTAGAAGGAAGATGCTGGTGTTCTGTGCTAACTCATCTTGGGCTTCTAATCAGCTGATCTAATTCTTCCATTCTGTTGTCATTTCATATAAGAAATATAAGTTCAGCAACATTTTATCGATTTTATGTCTCATCTCGGTGCCACTCACCGAAATACGTTGCGATTATGACGTTGCGCGAAGCTTTGTTCGTCATCCTCAACTTTTTTCATGTTTGAACACACCAGTCTGTTACTAAAAATAGTCATTTCACAACAAACTAATAAAGGCTTCAGAGGTCCTTGTGACATAAACTTGTAAATTATGGTACCAATTACTAGATAGCACGGCTACGTTAACCACAAGCTAAAACACCGAAATCCTGTTTGTTAGCTGATTGAATGACCTGGAAGAACCATCTTGATGATGAGTCAAGTCTGCTTACTTTATCAAAAATTTTATGCCTAGGGTTTTTCTTGGTTAAGTAATAATTTAAAACCACTCAATTATACTGGAATATTGGCAGCTTGAGTGCGTTCATTTGTGCTCGATTAGGTGGCTATTGATCTGTTCGCCGAGCTTGGTAATTAGCTTGCGTAAGTCTCGTCACCAATAGAGGTGGCACATTATCTACCCGAGCACTCATTCACCAATCGACTAATGACGAAACGTTTTCAAGCTATTTGCCGAGCTCCGCGAACAAATCGAAGATTACCAGAGCAACTGAAAATAGGACCACACAGTTTAACAAACAGCTTAGCAAGAGCGTTTGTGAACTTTGTAAAGTTCACAATTCGTTAGTTCCAAGGCACAAGGCTAGAAGAAGGATGAGTTACTATAGCTATCCCTTTAGTTAAGGGCACTCGTATATACGGTATATATACTGAAAATTGGAACAGGTTACTCCCACTGACATGAAAGCTTGAAATTAAATGTGTTTCAAATCAAACTGGATATAGTGCGGACGGCTTATATGAACTGCAAGAAAAATCCATCCAAAATACCTACCATATCAGTAGGAGATATCCCATTTGTCCAATTATACGCCTGACCAGACCAAGGTCGACGCGGCAAATAAAGCTAAGTCAGCTTTGACTGGAGTTTGTATAGCCCTGAAAAGCATGAAATATTCTAGGTTAATCTTTTATTCAGGCACCCGAAATAAAAGCCATGCCATCATTTTTCCGTGATTCCAGCAATCCCTGTTGGTACTTTTTCCTATTTCGGCGGTGAACCCTACAAGGTGTTCAAAGCTTGATACCTGCCGTGTTGATTCGGGTCCGTTTTAAACCCGAGAAAAAAGGCCAATGGCTCCACCTTGGATTATCTTTTCGTCTTTGCAAAATGACTGTCACAAGAATGGAGTTCGGACGTATGCCAGTTTTTTCTCCAATTACGAAAAGCACAAAGTGATACGTTTCCCTCTCGATGCGAAAGTTCAAGTACGTTATTTAGAGGCCGTAACAGCTGATTGTTCATGATTGATCCTAATATTACCTTTGCTACGGGCAAGAGAATCAGTTTGAATGGAGATCACCAACGCAACCATTTTCAGTGCTTTTGAGTAAAGGCCAGCTAAATAACCTGCATGTGTCAACATTTGTGCTGTCCTTCCTTCCGAGGCCTCTAATTCAAGGCTACTTCTGTATATAATCAACTAGAGGTCAAATATATGCCCTTTCGATTGTGAATGACATACAGAAAGCCATCACTTGTTCATCCGATCGATACAGATAGAGGCATTACAAAACTAAAAGCGAGCAACCCGTACAAATAAGACAAGGATAAAGTGCAGTCTGCGGGCAAATGTGTGAAAACTTTCCGTCCATGGTCGATTGGGCTGGGTGACCAGCAGTCACGTAAGCAGACCATGGAAGACTCAATACGACTACGAACACATTCTGAGTGCAAAGACTCGGTTTGTGTGAGCGAATCACTGACCTCAGTTGTGACCAGACATACATACTGAAAAGACCTTGGTAGATGGACATGTGCTTGGTGCCTACCAAGATCCGTTCAACATGTGTTCGGCCACAGCCGAGAAAATCGCAATTCGCTCCTGTGAGTCAATGGCGATCGGCAGTTATATTTCCTATATGTCTGACTACTCATTAGTAACGTAATTTATTATTTTACCACCGTTCTGCTTCCTTGATGCTCGTTGCTCAGGTTTGGCTCTCGTTTAAGCTCCGTTAAATTTCCAGTAATTGACGTCAAGCTTTTGTTTTCTCTTGCAATTTCGTGTCAGCTCTACCGTTTTCAAGCGTCTGCTCCGACGAAGAAAGGACCGCCTGGGATCGAACTCGGAAACCGTCGGGGGCAAGCGGCCTATCCGCTACGCCAACTCGACGTCGGGGGCGGTCCTGATTTCTGTATAATGTCTGTGTTGCCTCTAACCCGATAGTTATCATTGATACTTTGTTTTAAACGGGCCTAAGTGCACATTCCGATTTGACACGTGGCACGCGCTGCTTCGCCACGCTGTTACATAAAGACCACAGGTATATTTAATTTGTGTCAGCTTCAATGGGTGTCCGTTTTCCAGACAGTTTCTATTACCTCCTGAACGAACCGACTGTCTTCTGCGCTGTTATCTTTGTATGCGACCTACTTACACTGTCTGAATGCTCGCATCCAAAGCCCTGTTACCTCACCGTCCCTAAGTGTCATAGAACCGGCTCTCAATACAGCATCTACTATCCTCATCCATCCGTTCCTACCGCCTACTGAATATGAACTGCGTGTAACCATATGGCTCCTTAGATCTTTGGCTGCCCGTATTTTACAACCTGATTCAGTGTTTCATTGAATAAGTGTTTGTAGTCGCGTAATTCGCAAACGAAGATGCACATGAGTAAATGTACCTAGAAGGCGCTACATCTGAACGTTACTCTTAAAAATTCAAACCAACGATCTCCATCTGTGTTCAGGTCTGTTGCCCACTAGAACAACGGAGCAAACGTAGAAAATATAAAGAAAAACTTGTACTAAAATCTAAGCAGACCACCAGCACCATTTAAGTGACATCAAAAAACAAAATCAGAGAACAAATCGAAAAATGAAAGACAAAGTAGGATAGAAACACCCTATAATGCCCTACTGTCAGGACCTTGGGGATCGTGTACTCATCCTAGTTAATGCAGTCGATTCATCCGAACAACATACTTAACAAAGAAATTGGCTGGGATTCGGCTTTCTTTATAAATGAATCCAAATTAATTCGCAACTGGGTTCATTTCTTCAACAACTTGAATGTCTCAAAAATATTGGAAATGAGTGATTGACTGCTCTGCATCTGGACGTGGATAGGAACTTTCAATAAATATCCCGGATTTTTTTAGCATTTCTGCCCATCAAACAGTCCTCTTGGGACACATTTCATGTAAGCGTTTGAGGCATCGAAGAAACCGATAGCCACTTGAATTGTGAACAAAGTCACCTGTGCAGATGAGGTAATCCATGTTCGTCTCACGCGTAATGATGGAATGCTGGCAACACGCTCAACTGTCATATCAGTGGTTCCTTACTACTTCGACACAGTTAGGGATCATTGGCTCCACAATATCTATACTTGGTATGGAGTGAGCAACACACTCGCAGCAAGAGGGATATTGTGAAAACGAAGCTGACGTAGAACCATCTTCTGCAAACAGTCCAATAGCTCTAAACACTCGCACTGTTACCAGGTCATACCTCGACAACTCCGGTCAGCTTTCCGGTAAGTAATCGGTTTGTTTTCTGATGCCCTCATTACTTTCAGACTAGTAAGTGTTCCATAGTGTCAGTTGAGCTGTATCTGTCAGGACATGAAGAGTGGACCACCAGATATAGGGGAAAAGAGTGTCATGTTAGCCTAGTTTGTATGCTTGGAGAAGCACAAACCTCATGTTGTGCATGCTTGACGAATTAAGAATGTATGCATGAATAAAGAGAGAGTTGTTAGATTTCTCTCTTCCTACCCTATATCAGAGGTACCATCACAACCGCAATCGCCAAAAATATTGCAAAAGTTACCAGACATGCAATTCTACAGTGTAGCAAATCCCATCCTCCAACGTTTGGTTATATCGACCGTTACCGTTCGTCGTTTCGACTTATCTGTTTGTATCGAATTTACCAAACCGACGTGAATTTCGATTGGGAGCTTGAACGACGGGACAACGGTGCAAACGTACTTTTAACTGCGACTAATTTACTTTGCATCATCCAGCTATGAAAACCAAGTGGAGGGTGAAATATACGCAACAGTGGATAAATAGGGCTAAACATATAACTACACATGAAACGTTCCATGATCTATGACATGACAAACCACATTAACAAGAGACTTTCTAAGGATCCAGGGGTTCACAAAAGGCACTCATATTTGCGACGATTCGGTTTCAACGAGAGACTCAACAGAATCTTTCGTTTACCAAACCGACGTGAATTTCGATTGGGAGCTTGAACGACGGGACAACGGTGCAAACGTACTTTTAACTGCGACTAATTTACTTTGCATCATCCAGCTATGAAAACCAAGTGGAGGGTGAAATATACGCAACAGTGGATAAATAGGGCTAAACATATAACTACACATGAAACGTTCCATGATCTATGACATGACAAACCACATTAACAAGAGACTTTCTAAGGATCCAGGGGTTCACAAAAGGCACTCATATTTGCGACGATTCGGTTTCAACGAGAGATTCGACAGAATCTTTCGTGGTATTCTTCAACTGAATGTCCTGTACAAGGACCGCCTTATGTTTCATTTGAGATTGTACGTGATGTGTTGCATTATTGAAGATACATTACTCATAAGCTTGCATTCAGAGAGTTTTCAGTGTTCCTTCAAGAAAAGCTTCAAAGCTCAACAAAGTCCAAGGGACTGGCTATAGCAGGAAGTGCCCTAAACTAAACCCTCCTAGTGCTTTCAGGACGAAAGTTAGTTACACATGATACTCCTCAACAATAGAACGAACATTTGTACATTCAGCACTTATTGTTCTGCTCCACTTTGATGCAGCCCGCCTCCAAAGTACCAATGATCGGTACAACAGAGGTACCGACGCCGCAGGTAGTTTGCAACTGGATACGTAGTCGAAAGACTAGAACCAATGTAGATAAAGGTACAAGGCATCGAATTCATCAAATATAGTTTTCGTTACAAGCAGCTTGCATTCAAAAAATTCAGTTGCGTGAACGGTAAACGTCAATAATCAATGAAAACCAAGAAGTGCCTGTATTTCTATGCGACAGACTGTAGTAGTTTTCGCTAATCGGAAATCACTTTTGATCTTAGCCGCTACAGATTAGTGTATACCATACTTCTATCCACAACAGTGTGGACCAAAACTAGGAAGGTCAGCTCTTTATTTTGTTGGTTCATTCCAGGAAATACTTGCTCTCGATTTCGGCCCTCATGACAGATATAGAAATCATTGAGTCTGTGTCCTACCAATGGCATCTTCATCTGGAAAATCCACCGGGCCGTGGACCAAATTGTCAAACGACCAGCTGCTCATCATCCTATTGAGTAAACCCTTTTGAAGAAAGTAAAACGGTTACTCTTCAATTTCTTTCAAGTCACTCAAATCGGGAAAGTACTTCGTTTCTCACACAAAGCTGTTTATCTCGTAACTACTGTCATTCGTACACTCATTTGGGTTTAACGGAAGACTCAACCAAATCCAGTCGACTCTCTCTTTTACTCTTTTTCTTCAGAACAAATCAGTGAGAAAATAGGAGTATTTTGCGAATTCTGTCCAGTCTGGGATCACTTAGAAAATGAGGGCGGTGGAAACTGGGGAATTGCACCCACCTGATGAGCTCGACGTGTAAAGGCGACACCGGTCTTGAGCTTTGGAAGGCTTTACATCAACCTTATTAATAATCTTTCCTTTTAGCTCCTCCTTTCACAACTGTCTTAGAGGATAAGCACTCTCTTTCAATAACGCACTTTCACTAATGAGTGATTGAGCAGGGTTGAACAAATAACTCTAGCTGTTCTATATGGTCGTATGGTGCTATTTTATGTTATGCACACCGAGAGACTTTTTTGACCAAAGTGTCATCAGCACCTTCCGAGACGCTGGGTAATTGAGTAAGTCAGTCAGTACAACAGGACGTCTAAACCATTCTTCGGGATTTAGTCAAATACGCTCGTGTTGAGCAGTTTCCATTCTTTCCAACGTGTACGAACGCTAAAGAGTGTAGCTGAAATTTCCGGTTTGGGTGCACCTATTGAGAGGCCTTGAATAAATATTCGTGGAATCTTTCCTGTCAGGACCTTCAGCCGCGCAACTGTTGGGTGCGCACAGATAGAGTCACAGGATTCGTACGGCTTAGCTAGATAAGTCTACAGTTCGAGTGGGCTTGATTTTTTACTTTTCCTGAAGAAAAAAAACAGATCAAAATCACGCAGAACTTTGCATTTTCTCGCTGAACCTCATTTTCTGCGTAAAAACACTGGTTCCACCAGTTACTGAATCTTAAAATAAGTATTTGGTAGCTGGTCAACCAAGTGTTTTTCTTTTAAGAGTGGTCATCGTGCTCCCCGGGGAACTGGTGTAAACCAACCCTGAGTTCGGGATTTCATCAAATGTTTATTTGGTTAGATCTTGGAACACTCAGTCATATTGGTGCTATAGTCCCCACTCAAACTCATCGGGTGGGTCAAGATGGATCAGACGCGAGGGCCTTTGGTTGAAATTTAGTTCAATGCGAGTAAAGATGGCTTGTCATCCGAAACAATTTAACCATTTTGCACTAACCAACTGATTATCTGATCATGGTTATCTTATTAAGAGATCGATTACAAGTGTGTGTGTGGCACTAACCAACTGATTATCTGATCATGGTTATCTTATTAAGAGATCGATTACAAGTGTGTGTGTGATTACAAGTCTGCAACTGTTCCAAACGGTCGGCTGGAACGTGGTTGTGTGAAAGTATTTGAGAGCTCCTAACAAAAAGATTGTGTCCGATACCTTTATCGTCCCCTGATATATCTCAATAACGAAAAGAGTGCTAGTGTGGCCGAAGTTTTCCTAAACGGACCACATTTTCACTATGAATCCTCACTTAATGAGTCAGAAGCATTGGACATATTCCAAATGAGTCGCAACGTAGGAAACTCGACTGCCAGTGATTAGTGTAAAACGCAGTCCCCTTTATCCACGGCATTAGTGCAGAATGGAGGCCTGAATCAAGGTGCGTTAACATTTCCCTCTGTAATGCATATAGGTTACACCTAAATCTGGGTTAACTGAACATACAGGTGAAAGGAACAAGGCCCTCGCTGTGGAGTTATTTATTAGGAAACACCAAGTGAACAGTTACAGACTATTGGACAGGGGAGTAAAACTCTCAAATGCATCTTATTTACAAAAACCGAATATCCATCTTCTTCCTGAACGCGTCTTCCTAAACTTTCCTGGATATTCATTGACTGTTTCCCAAATGCAAACAAATGCGACTCCACAAATTTCG